GAGGGAAATGAGCAAGCGCAAAACATGGCCCTGAGTCTGCTCGGAGGGACGTTCCACAGCCGTCCGAGGTCCATGTCAGAAAAAAACCCCCAAAATTAATTCATGGTAGAAAGGAGGTAAACAAACGTTACGTGCAACGTATTATGAGGAAACGGGTGCGTCAGCCGCACCTGTTCCTAATTCAGTCCAATCCATGCCTTAGTTGCATCCAGAGTAGACTACTGCAATGTGCTCAACTTGGGGCTACCCTTGAAGAGTGTTCAGAATGCTGCAGCTAGTGCAGAATGCTGCCGCTACACTGCTATTGGGAACAAACGGCCCTGATACTACAGCAATTATGCTGGCTACCGATCTGCTCCCAAGCCCAATTCAAGGTGTTGGTTTTGACCTTTAAAGCCCTAAATGGCTTGGGACCGGGGGGTACCTGAAGGGCTGTCTTGTCCCATACGTTCTTGCCCAGGAATTAAGATTGTGGGGCGAGACCCTCCTGACTGTCCCATCAATCAAAAAGGCTTGCCTGATGGGCACGTGAGAAATGGCCTTTTCGGTGGCAGCCCCCAACTATAGGACCACCTCTCCAGGGAAGTATGCCCGGCTCCCTGGCTGTCAATCTTCAGGAGGCAGCTGAAGACAGTTTTATTGAGGATGGCATTTGACTGATTTTGTTGTTATTGTTATTGGCAGTCCTAGTTTTTAGAGAAGAAGTAGAGATTGGATTTATAACCTGCCCTTCACTACCCAAGGGAGTCTCAGAGCAGCACGCAGACTCCTTTCCCTTCCCCTCCCCACAACAGACACCGGTGAGGCAGGTGGGGCTGAGAGAGCTCTGACAGAAACTGCTCTTTTTCAAGGACAGCTCTTATCAGAACTATGGCTTGCCCAAGGTCATCCAGCAGGTGCAAGTGAAGGAGTGGGGAGTCAAACCCAGTTCTCCCAGATTAGAGTCCGTGCACTCAACCACTACACCAGACTGGCTTTGGTGTATTACTTTGTACAGATTTTTATAGTTGTCTCCATTTTCTGTTTTTAGAATAGGTTTCTTTACCTCCTCAGCCGCAGTGAGTTCCACGAAGAGAAGAAAAGAAGAAATTGGATTTATACCCCACCCTTCACTACCCGAAGGAGTCTCAGAGCGGCTTACAAACTCCTTTCCCTCCCCCTCCCCACAAACAGAGACCCGGTGAGGGAGGGGGGCTGAGAGAGCTCTCTCGAGGACTGCCCTTGAGAGAGCACCTCTGAGAGAACTTGTGGCTGACCCAAGGTCACACCAGCTGGCTGCTTGTGGAGGAGCAGGGAATCGAACCCAGTTCTCCCAGATTAGAGTCCGCGCTCCTAACCACTGCACCAAACACGAGAAAGAAAGGGGGCTAATAACGGTTTTCAACCAATAAGTAAAATCAATAAAAACCTTAACTGGGATCGCATGCTGGGGGAGGAGAAAAGGCAGAGAGGGAAATATTGGTGGGAAGCACCTTTCTCGGGGGGGGGGGGGCAGGTCATCCCCGAATCCCCTGGGGGAAGATTCCGGATCAACGAGACTCCATGCTGAGAAAGGATTCTATCCTTTAATTCCTTTTATTAAAACCCCCCCCCCGCAGAAAAGCTCTGCTGGGAAAACGGCACCCGTTCCTGTGGGTTTGCCACTGGATTTAACCACACAACACACACACCCTCCCAACCACGATAATATTTGCAGATCCCCAGCGGGACCGCCGAACCGAAAGCTTGAAAAACAAAACAGGAAGAGTCGACCCTAATTCGGATAAACCCCCACTGTACACACACCCCTCTTTTCAAGGTCAAGTCCACAGCGACCTGCTGGCGGGAGAACTTCTGAGAACCGGTTTTAACGACTTCTGTCTAGTCAGGAGAGAAACATCTGCCGGAAGAATGTGTGTGTGTGTGTGTCGTCTAGTCTTTGCCAACAGCACAGTTTCCTTCTGGATTCGCTCTGCCTTCCAGCATTGGAGAAGAAATATTGGGGGACACGAAGGGTAGCTTCAGGAAAATGACATGCACGTAGAGATATAAAATTTCTGGAAATTTTGACGCTTGGAGAAAACACCCGTTCCCCCCCCCCATTTTTTTCGGGGGAAAATGGAAATTTTTGGAAAAATTGAAAAAAATGCTACATTAGCACTTCTTTTTTCTTTTCCACATTAAAAGTCATTCTGCTACTTTAGGAACATAAAATATGACTATGGACATTTTTACTTGGCATGGAATTATCACAAGTAGCCTATAAAAGTGTAGTGTATCCAAACAATTATTACAAACAGAATACCCACCCTACATGCAAAAACAAAACTGAAACCTTCTTCTTTTCTTGTGACAACAGCACCTCCTAAAGGAAGAAATGCATCTTGTTCTTGCATTGGAGAGTTCAGTTGGTAACCTAGGACTTGCTGGTCCCCAGTGCACAGAAATTAGATCAATCCGATACCATACGTATTTTTTTAGAAATGATTTGGAAAATACTTGAACACCTTGTCCTAAAATATTTTATTCATCATGTCAAAATAAAACGTTCCATAATCCATTTCTGTTCTGTTCTTTTCTTTTTTCAATTTTTCCAATTTTTCGGGAAAAAATCAAAACAAAAAAGGCTTCAGGGGAAAAAACAGGAAAAAAACGTTTTTTTAACGATTTTTCCCGGGTTTTTTCCAGGCCTTCACATCTCTACATGCACGTGTTAGAGGGTGGGGGTGTAGGGTTGCCAGATCCAGATTGGGAAACTCCTGGAGATTTGGGGATGGAGCCTGGGGAGGACAGGGACCTCAGCGGGGTAGAATGCCACAAAGTCCACCCTCCAAAACATCCACTTTCTCCAAGGAAACTGATCTCTGTAGTACAGGGATAAGCTGCCATTCCAGGGGATCCCCAGGTCCCACCTGGAGGCTGGCTTCCCTAGCCGAGAAGGAAGCCCTGGACTCCTTAGGGTAGCTACGTTGGCCGTCCTCTCCCAAGAGGAAACCCGGCATCTGCACAATGCCAGACTGGGAACATTATGACACTCAGGGCTATTTTGGGGCAGGAATACACAGGAAGGGAGAAGAGATGAGCACGGCAACCCTAGAGTCGGACTCTACTGGCTTTCGAGCAAGGGAACCTTTACCTTTACGTTACCACTTGAGGCCACTGATTGGGGGGGGGGAGCGGTGCATGTTTGAAAATGCCATCCCAGATTTTAAAAGTATTCTGTTACTGGGGGGGGGGGGGGGGGGGAAAAGGGGAGCTCTGCAACTTACTTGGTTGCTTCTTGCTCCTCGTGGCCCGACTGAGGGCTGCTGGGAGCAGGGGGTGGGGCTTGTTGCAGTGCCCGCCCTTTGGGCGCCTTACTGCCGGAGCTCCGCTCCTGTGCACTTCCGCAGGAAATGACCCGGCAGGGCAGCTGGGGAAGCGAAGGGGGGATGCTTTCCTCCCTCCCTCCCTCCCATCTATTTGCCTTCTTTGTTTCTCTCTCTTTCTTTTTCTTTCCACCTCTCTCTCCATTTCTCTCTCTCTTAGTCAAATAAATATCATTGGCCCCGTTCACACGGAGAAGTTGCCGCGCCAAAGACATGAATGCCAGGCGTATTTCTGGTGCGTGATCACACCGCAACAGCTGGGAAGCGTAGCGCACCCGTGGCCAACCCGTGGCGTCCGGCCAAAGATGCGGAGTTAAAAAGTACCAAAGAAAGTGCACTAGTATCCAGAAAACGCGGGGCAGGGGCGGGTGTCTGATCGCGGGAGCGCTAGTATCCCACGGCATCCGGCGCCCGTCCACATCCCGTTGCCAACCGGATGTTTTTCATAAGTGCATGCGCACAGACGCGCAACTGAAAGCAGTGCTGCTCTGTGGAACTACGCATGTGCACAAACGCGAAATGCTTGCCGCACTGCTTCTTTGCCATGCTCCAGCATCGCCATGTGATCGCCAGCCAACAGCGTAAGCGCGAAGCCTTGGGGGACCGTGTGATCAGGCTACCGCACTTTATTTTGCTCCGGGGCAAACAGCCAGGCCCCGCCCCCCCCCCCCCCCCCCCGTAGACTCCAGCACTGCAGTTTCGTGACCGGGGCCATGAGCAAACAAACAAATATCATTGGAGAAATAAATATCATTATCAATATTCCCCCCCTTTTATTTTTGGCAGTCTCATTTAATGTTAATAAAAGGCAAATTTGCATATTTCCCAGTAAACACGTGTGTGTAATATTTGTTCATGTCTTGCGGTTCTTAAACATCTGATGTTATTCTATGTGGCTTGGCCACCCCCCCTCTAGCGCTTGATTCCGCTGTTGATATAAACGGACAGTTCCATGTTTTAGTTTTCTTCTGGACTCCTCTCTCTCTCTCTCTCTCTCTCTCTCTCTCTCTCTCTCCCCCCTCCAGCTTCCATAATCTTTGGTTGCCAACTACGGGTTGGGAAGTCCCTGGAGATCTTGGGCTGGAGTCTAGGGAAGGCAGGGTTCGGTGAGGGGAGATGCCAGACACTCCACCCTCCAAAGCCACTATTTCCTCCAGGGGAACTGATCTCTGTCGTTTGGAGATACGTTGCGATTCTGGGAGATCTCCAGGCCTCACCTGGAGACTGGCAACCACACGGGAAGGGACTCTGCAAGGAGCAAAGGTCCCCACTTGGGAAATCACCTTCCTTTTCTCTGCATCCAAAGCCCAAGCACAATATCCTTTTCTTCCCTGGGCTTTTCCAAGCAGATGTTCGATAGGCGAATCCCCCCTTTTCCCCACCCCGGACTTTTAGCTGCCAGCCCCGATGATGGATGAACTAGGACCTTGCCCGTGGGTCACAGCCGGACCTCCAGGGGGCCTCCACTCTGACAGCCCGGTGACGGATGATCCAAGGTCTCCCCGGCCTCTCGGGTCATGCAGAGACAGCAGGACAACCAAAGGCCTGGAGAATAGCTCTGGGCCTCAAAAACAATGGCACTGGCTAACCGAGTTGGGCTTACTTGAAACCGGTAGTCGGAGAAAATCAATGCCTACTTCACAGATACGCCAGCCACCCCTCTCGAACAGGGACGAACCACCCCAAATTTTATGATAAATCACTACCATTCCCTCCCTGAAATATCGGGACTATCCTGACTGATAATCCGACGGCATGGTGTGGGCACGGGGAGGAACGGACTCCTGTATAACAGCAAAGATCTACACTGGGAGACCAGTGTTCCCTCTAAGCTGAGTTAGTGTGAGCGAGCTCACAGATTTGTAGCCTCCGGCTCGCACGTTTTTGCCACAGCTCAGGAAGGAGGTCTCCCAAGCAAACTAATCGATGCAGCAGCCAAATCGCTCGCTCACCACTTCAATGCCAGTAGCTCACCAAGTAGAATTTTTGCTCACAAGACTCCACAGCTTAAGAGGGATCATTGGGGAGGGGGGTCTCCAATCTTCTTGAGCATGTGAGCATCTTTAGGATTGGGAGATGAGGTGGTGGGCGCAGCCACACAATGGCCACCGTGGGCGACGCTCCCTCTAAGCTGTGGAGTCTTGCGAGCAAAAATCCTACTTGGCGAGCGACTGGCCTTAAAGTTGTGAGCGAGCGATTTGGCTGCTGCGTAGATTAGTTTCCTCTGGAGCCCTCCTTCCTGAGCGAAGACAAAAAGCTGTGAGCTGTGGGCTAAAAAACTATGAGCTAGCTCACACGAACTCAGCTTAGAGGGAACACTGGGAAACCCGATTCGGGGATGTAAAAGGAGTTATTTAGAAAAATACACCAGGAAACAGGAGTGAGAGAGAGCATAAAACCGATACTGTTTAGCTGCCGCCAAAATAATGTAATTTTAATTTGCACGCCCAATTAGATCTCCAGGGGCCGATCAGGAACGCTGACCATCAGATTGGGAAAAGACCATTCTCCGCCTGATACCCGGAGGAAAGATGCCAGTCTGAAGAGGCGACAGGAGTCCAATACATGAGGCATTGATCTAACCCTAGGCAATGCAAGTTTCCTATATTATGACCGAGGGGCAGAAAGACCTAGTGGTTCAAGCATCCAATTAGCTATAGCCTTCCTGGTTGCAAGCAGGGGCGGTCTTACCTATGGGACAACACAGGCAGTTGCCCAGGGCCTCATGATGGGTGGACCCCTACGGCTGGTGGGAGTGATAGAAAATGGTGGAAAACAAAACAAGGTCATAAGAACCTAAGAAGAGCTCTGCTGGATCGGACCAGTGGCCCATCTAGTCCAGCATCCTGTCTCACACAGCGGCCAACCAGTTCCTCTAGAGGGCCAACAACTGGGCAGAGAGGCCGAGGTCTTCCCCTAATAAGAACATCAGAAGAGACCTGCTGGATCAGACCAATGAAGGTCCATCTAGTCCAGCATACTGTCTCACACAGTGGCCAACCAGTTCTTCTGGAGGGCCAGCAACAGGGCAGAGAGGCCGAGGTCTTCCCCTAATAAGAACATCAGAAGAGCCCTGCTGGATCAGACCAGTGAGGGTCCATCTAGTCCAGCCTCCTGTCTCACACAGGGGCCAGCCAGTTCCTCTGGAGGGCCAACAACAGGGCAGAGAGGCCGAGGTCATCCCCTAATAAGAATATCAGAAGAGCCCTGCTGGATCAGACCAGTGAGGGTCCATCTAGTCTAGCATCCTGTCTCACACAGTGGACAACCAGTTCCTCTGAAGGGCCAACAACAGGGCAGAGAGCCCAAGGCCTTCCCCTGATAGGAACATAAGAAGAGCCCTGCTGGATCAGACCAGTGGCCCATCTAGTCTAGCACCCTTTCTTACCCAGTGGTCAACCAGTTCCTCTGGAGGGACAACAGCAGGGCAGGGAGGCCAAGGCCTTCCCCTGATAAGAACATAAGAAGAGCCCTGCTGGATCAGACCAGTGAGGGTCCATCTAGTCTAGCATCCTGTCTCACACAGTGGACAACCAGTTCCTCTGGAGGACCCACAACAGGGCAGAGAGGCCAAGGCCTTCCCCTGATGTTTCCTCCTGGCTCTGGGATTCAGAGGATTAGTGCCTCTGAACGTGGAGGTTTCCCTCAGTCACCAGGGCTAGTAGCCACTGATAGACACCCTCCTTGAAATAATCTAATCCCCTTTTAAAGCTGTTTATTCCTGTGGCCATCACTACTACTGTGACCATCTGGAAGCGAATTCCACATTTTTAATTGCTCTCCGAGTAAAGTCGTATTTCTTTTTGCCCATCCTGACTACCCATCAGCTTCGTTGGATGCCTTTGAGTGCTGGTATTTTGGGAGAGGGAGAAGAATTTCTCTCCATCTATTCTCTCCGTCCCATTCATAATTTTATAAACCTCTTATCTTGTGCCCCTCCCGCAGTCGTCTCTCTTCTCAATGGAAAAGCCCCAGACTCTCCACCATTTCTTCCTAGGGAAGGGGCTCCAATCCCCTCATCATCTTGGTTGCCCTCCTGTGGACTTTTCCCAGCTCTGCAAAGTCCTTTTGGAGATACGTTGACCAGAAGTCTGAACAGGCCAGTATGCAAACTGTGACGCATTACTGAAGGGCAGGGGTCATTTCCTGCAGGAGCGCACAGGAGCGGCGCTCCGGCAGTAAAGAGCCCAGGGGGCGGGCACATGCAACAAGCCCCACCCACCACTCCCAGCAGTCCTCAGTCAGAGCAAGAAGCAGCCGGGTAAGTTGTAGAGCTCCCCCCAGACCCCCCAGTCCAAAACAGTCCAGTGGCACCTTTAAGACCAAGTTTTATTCAGGTACAAGCTCTCCCTCCTCTGTGAGGACAGATCTGCATGCCCCCCCCCCAATAGCTAGCAATCAAAAACAGTGGTGGGTGTTGCCTTCTGACACACTTCCGGTGATGTCAGGGGGTGTGGCATATGCAAAGAAGTTATGCTAATGGGCTCCTGCACCTCTTTTTATACAAAATGACCCCTGCTGAAGGGTCATGCCTACTGAAAGCTTTGGTGTTGTCCAGGGCGGGGCGGGTGGGGGAAAATGGGGTGCGGAGGTCCCCGTCTTTGATTTCTTCCCACAAGACCTCAGCATGGGTTCCCCGTCAATATCTAAGAACAAACCAGGTCCCGACGTTCTGCCACTGAGCAACATGATCAAGAAACAGGAGTGGGGCGATGTAGGCAGGAGATCTTTCGTGAACCTCTGGTGATCTCCTGTATGTTCTCCTAGATATGGTGGTCAAATATCTTTACGGGTAAAAGGAAAATGCTAATGGAGAGGCTGCCTTGACCCGGATCTCATCAGAACTCAGAAGCTAAGCAGGATTGTCCCTGGTTAGTACTTGGGTGGGAGACCACCAAGGAGGTCCAGGGTTGCTACGCGGAGGCAGGCAACGGCAAACCATCTCTGTTTCTCTGCTCAGTCCTGGATGGACCAGGCTAATCAGATCTCATCTGATCATGGAAGCTAAGCAGGGTCGGCCCTGGTCAGTGTTTGGATGGGAGACCACCAAGGAGGTCCGGGGTCGCTACGCAGAGGCAGGCAATGGCGAACCACCTCTGAACGTCTGTTGCCTTCACCTGAATGGCCCAGGGTAGCTCACTCTTGTCAGAACTCAGTCGCTAAGCAGGGTCGGCCTTGTTTAGTACTTGGACAGGAGACCGCCAAGGAAGTCCAGGGTTGCTACGCAGAGGCAGGCGACAGGAAACCACCTCCGAATGTCCCTTGCCTCGAAAACCCGACGGAGTCACCATCCATCAGTTGTGATTTGGTAGCACTTCCTACCCAGACAACAGAGAGGACACTGCTCTCCGTCGGAGAAGAGGGCCCAAACGGGAAGACGTCTCTGAGCGTGGAGGCGGCACGCCACACCCAGTGTGCACACACCAGTCACAATCAGTGTTCCCTCTAAGCTGAGTGAGTGTGAGGTAGCACACCGTTTTTTAACCCTCTTGCTCACACATTTCTGTCTTTGCTCAGGAAGGGACAGCTCCGGAGCAAACTCATTTATGCAGCAGGCAAATCGCTCGCTCACAATTTTAATGCCAGTCGCTCACCAAGCAGAATTTTTGCTCACAAGGCTCTACAGCTTAGAGGGAGCATTGGTCACAATGACAGGCACGTCATGAATCCATCTACGGAGGGGGACGCGAGACGCTTCCGCGGAGAGCCCCTGCAAGCTAGGAAACATGTTGGGTGATAGTGAGATATTGAAAAAAGGGTATTTAGCAGAGATAATATAGCCCAGCAGAGCCTGAGTAAAATAATTTAGACTGAGAGTCCATGTGTGATTAAAATATAAAGTTTTTACTAAATTCTAGCATGGGGAAGGGTAACTGGGATGAAAATAACAACAGAGCGTAATCGGCTACATCCTTACACCACAAAGACAAAACTAGAAGAGAGAGAGTATGGCTGCTCTTCTTCTTCTTCAGAACACCAAACAAAGACGGGAAGAGAAGCCATAAAATGGTAATACACCTTGACACTTTAGTCCCAATCAAATCCCTAGATCAGGGAGAAAATTCCCGGGCAATCCACATCTAAAGAACATTGGTTACATGAGAAACATGTGACTTCCTGTGAGCAACATAAACAAACATTGAACCCCGGACATACTGAGTGTTTTCAGCTCGTAATACCCAACAAAGCACACTCTGAAACCAAAATAAAAACCGTCGGCCCCGATCTGTGTCTGCTGTCTGTCCTAGGCCTGGCACCAATGGGTAAGTATACCGACACAATGTGTTTCCAGTCTTCCAGAAGGTAAGTATACAAGACGAGGCATACCAGCAGTTTAAGACTATGGAAACTTCCCTTCATGGATACCGACTGGCTGCCCTATCGATCTTCCCCCCCAATAAGGATCGGAATGCAGTTTGGCTGATACTCACCTTGGAAACCCATGATGGATGCTTATGATATACTCTGATCACCAAGATGGTGGAAGGGTTTGAATCCAAGTCTTAGGAGGAAAGGCTGAAAGAGTTGGGTCTGTTTAGCCTGGGAAAGAGAAGGCTTAGAGGGGACATGATTGCAGTCTTCGAGTATTTGAAGGGCTGTCATGGAGAAGATGGAGCAGATCCCGCCTACCCAGCAGTTCGAAAGCAACGTAATTGCAAGTAGATAAATGGGTACCCACCCTTAATAGGGTGGGGGGCACCCTGCCTGGTGATGGTTGCGGCGGCGGCAGCGGCGAGGCACCAGTTCCGGTGCGGACGGTGTGGCGTGGCGATGCGGCAGCAACGGCGAGCGAGTGCAACCGGAGGAGCGATCCCTGGCGGCCGAAGAAGCAAGGACATTGGAGTGGCTGCCGTCAAAGAAGGGGGGCGCGAGAACGCCGAGCGCTGGCCCAGCGGAGCCGGAAGGGACGTTGCTGAGGCCGGAAGAAGGCGGAGCCGCGCGCTGCAGGAGAAACAGTTCCATCGAGCGCCATGAGGAGCACCCCGCCAGAAAAACCGCCGACGAGAACAACACCAACCACCACCATAGGGGTGCCCGGTAGGTTGTCCCACCCTGCATAGAACCTGTGGCCCTAGTTAGGATATTGAAAATGGTGATTAGCACCGACTTGTAAAGCCGCTCAGAGACCCCTGGATAAGGGATTCGAGCGGGATATAAAGTGGAATGATAAATAAATGAAAGATAAAATAAATCTATTCTCTCTTGCTCCGGATTGCAAGACTAGATCGAATGGGTGGAAATTTCAAGGGAGGCGATACCGGCTGAATATCAGGAGAAACCTCCTAACTGTGAGAGTGGTTGAGCAGTGGAACAGTCTGCCTCGGGAGGGGGTGGAGGCTCCTTCGCTGGACGTTTCCAAGCGGAGGCTGGACGACCCTCTGTCGGGTATGTTGCAGGGCTATCTTCCGGCTGTGCTCCTGCAGAGTGCGGGGGGTTGGACTAGAGGACCTGCAAGGTCCCTTCCAACTCTAACAGTCTATGATTCTACGATCAGCCTCTACTGAGGAAGAATACACAAAACGAAGTTTTGAAATCCGGAGTCTTCGTCTTGTATACTTACCTGCTGGAAGACTAGAAACACATTGTGTGCCACCTGTCACAGACTCGCTCTGCCCTTGTACTGAAGGCTTGCTCTACATTGGTATACTTACCTGTTGGAAGACACTGGATGCTACCTGTTGGAATACGAAATATGTTTATTATATACTTGCCTGCTGGATATTTGCAGACAGGGCTCTTTTCGTAGCGGGGACTCCTTTGCACATTGGGCGACGCGCCCGTAAGGTAGCCAATCCTCCAAGAGCTTACAAGAGCCCCTGTAAGAAGAGCTCTGTAAGCTCCCGGAGGATTGGCTACATTAGGGGTGTGTCGCCTAATAGGCAAAGGAGTTCCTGCTACAAAAGGAGCCCTGTAAGATGTAGTATTATCATTCTAGTCCAAATAGTACCTAAGAGTTGCTTGTTTGTCTTTCTTCTGCTCTTCTTAGCGTCTTTCCATAAAGTGTTTTCCCCTTGATTTTGTATTGCTCACTGTGTGATCGCTCGTTGGACTAGCCCTGGAACCTTCAGCGTCACATGGGGCGGGGAGAGACAGAGAGAGCGCAGCTCTTCCAAGAACCGTTCTGCTTCCTCCTCCGCTTCAGCTCCCCCCCCCCCGAGTTGGGCAAGACCCAGCTTAGCCTCTATCTCCCCCCACACTCCTCTCCCTGCCAACGCGTTCAGGGTAATTGGCGAGAATTGATTACCCTTCACCAGCCTCTAATAGCTTTATAGCTCCTTCAATTAGCCGCTAATTGGCCAGCGCTCATTAACTCTCCTTTGTTTAACTAACCAGGGAGAGGCCCTGCCTAATTGCCTGGCAGGACCGCGGGCAGGGGAGGAAGGGGAGAGTTTTGGCAGGGGGCGCGCAGGCCGTGGAAGGGTGCCCGTCCCTCACCAGCTTCCCGAAAAAACCGTTCCCCAAAAAGAAAACGCCAGCAAAGAGCTGCGGGACCACGGAACCTCGCCGGAACCCCTGCAGTGGCGGAAAAGAGCTTCCCCAGTAGGAGACAGCGGCGGAAGCACCCCCCGCCAAGGCACGGACTCGGGAAAGATGATGCATACCGTCACGTTACAGATCTAAATCGTTTGGAGCCGGCGGCAACCCAACTTTGCCGTAGGGTTGCCAATTCCCAGTTGGGGGCAGGAGATCCCCTGGTTTGGAGGGCCTCCCTCCACTTCCAGGTTATCAGAAAGTGGTTGGGGGGAAATGACTGCTGGGCGCTCCATTATACCCTACGGGGACCGGTCCCCATAGGGTATAATGGAGAATTGATCTGTGGGTATCTGCGGCTCTGGGGGGAGGGGCTGTTTTTTGAGGCAGGGGCACCAGATTTTCAGCACAGCATCCGGTGCCTCTCCTCAGGAAAACAACAACAACCCCAACCCCAAGTGTCAAAAGGATTAGACCAGGGGATCCAATTCTATGAGTCCCAAGAGAAGGTGCCCCCCCCCCGTCCTGGGTCATTTCAAATGGAGGGAAGGCATTTAAGTTTATTCAGGCTTAATAGCCCACAGGCCATACACCATAAAAGAAAACTTTAAGAGTTTAAAAGGACAGCAAAACAAGGATTTGCCACATCCACGATGCCGTTTTGGCCGAGGCTGCTCAGAAGTAGTCTCAATCGTGCTGCGTCCGGAAAAGGCGACTATTTCAACAGCCATTTTGGTAGGCATTTAAAAGGAACACAGTCCCTTTAAACGTGACGGCCAGAGTTCAGCCGGGCAACTTCCCTCCCATCGCCCAGAGTCTCCTGAAACATCCCCCACCGCCAGCTTGTCAGCCTCACCGGGCAACCCGACTTCGCCGCCGTGGCTCCCCTCTTGGAATTGTAGCCAGGTGCCGAGAAGCTTCCGGAACCTCTTCGGCGGAATTCTTTTTAAAAGGTCTAAAAATTCATGAGTTTTCGGTGTACAGGCCGAAAACTTCATTCCCTCTTGAGAATTCCGGCACCTCCCCCCCCCCCCAAAAAGCCCTGGCTTCGAGGATGTATTTGCAAGGGTGTTAGACCACCATTGCAAAAGGGCCGGGCCGGGCAGGAGACCTTGCCAATGTTCTCTCTAAGCTGTGGAGTCCTGTGAGCAGAAATTCTACTTTGTGAGCTACTGGCATTAAAGTTGTGAGCAAGTAGTTTGGCTGCTGCATAAAATTAGTTTGCTCTGGAGCCATCTTTCCTGACCGAAGACAAAAATGTGTGAGCTGGAGGCTAAAAAACTGTGAGCTAGCTCACACTAACTCAGCTTAGAGGGAACACTGCTTGACGCCTTATAGATGCCCCTTTGAATCCCCCAGTGGAAGATACTTTCGGGGGGTGGCAGAAAAGCCAGAATCCAGTCCAGCCTCTAGATGAAACAACCAGAGGGATTTTCAACAGAAGGACAAGAAGGCCTAGTGTGTAAACTCAACAAAAGCGTCTTTGGACTAAAACAAGCAGCCAAAGCTTGGAACGAAAAGCTGACTCAACTGCTACGAAAACAGAGTTTTCAACAAGGAATAGCAGAATCTTGCTTGTTCTCAAGACTTAAAAATGTAAAGTATCAATACTTATTTATGTTGATGATTAGATTATTTGTTGTCAAAATCACGGAGATGTACAAGAAATAGCAGATGAACTGAACAAAGAAGTTGAAGCGAAACAATTAGGAACTGTAAAGTACTACCTTGGAATACAAATTGAAAGAACGGAGGATGGAAGTTTTCTTTTGAACCAAAAGCAAAAGATCATGGACTTTATTGAATCTGTAGGAATGAGAGATTTCAATCCAGGAAGTACTCCACTTGATAAGGACTATCCCAAACTTACTAATGGAAAACCACTTAAAGACAATCATGAATACAGATCCGCAATTGGAAAATTATTATATCTGAGCACAATCTGTCGTCCAGATATAACTTCAGCTGTTGGACTTTTGTGCAGAAAGACCAGTTTACCGAACGAGCATGACTGGAAAGCCATTAAGAGACTGGCAAGATACCTAAAAGGAACTTTGGACTACAAACTTAAAATTTCAGCCTGTGATGAACCAAGACTGACTGGATACATGGATGCCAACTGGGACAAAAACTCACCTGATGGAAAATCTACAAGTGGATACTTGTTCTACTATGGAAACAGTTTGATTGAATGGACTAGTCAAAAGCAAACTATTGTGGCCATGTCTACTGGAGAAGCTGAATGTGTATCAGCACAAAGTGCCAGCTATGAGCTCTACTGGATAATTCATCTTCTGAAAGACTTCGGCATAGATGAACCAAAGCCAATAATACTTTTTGAGGACAATCAAACTTGTATCACCATCTGCAAAGGTGAAGGCACCAAATCTAAAAACAAGACCATCGCACTCAAAGGTCACTACGTGAAAGAGCTGCAAGACCAAGGACTGATCGCACTCCAATACTGTCCTACTGATCAGATGATTGCCGACATCCTGACCAAGCCGCTTGACAAGCAACGTTTTGAGACTCTTCGTGAATGTTTGAATCTGCATGACTTTCATGTTATAACTTGAGAAGGGGTGTTGAGTATTACAAGTTGAAAACACTCAGTATATCTGGGGTTAAATGTTTGTTTATGTTTCTCACAGGAAGTCACATGTTTCTCATGTAACCAATGTTCTTTAGCTGTAGAATACCCGGGAATTTTCTCCCTGATCTAGGGATTTGATTGGGACTAAAGTGTCAAGGTGTATTAGCATTTTATGGCTTCTCTTCCCGTCTTTGTTTGGTGTTCTGAAGAAGAAGAAGAGTAGCCATAATCTCTCTCTTCTAGTTTTGTCTTCGTAGAGTAAGGATGTAGCCGATTTTGCTCTGTTGTTATTTTCATCCCAGTTACCCTTTCCCATGATAGAAAGGGTCTCAGGCTGAGGTCTTCCACATCACTTGCTGCCTGGTCCTTTTAACTGGAGATGTTGGGGACTGAACCTGGGACCTTCTGCATGCCAAGCAGAGGCTCTGCCACTGAGCCACGGCCCCACTTCACGGCTCTCCAGGGTCTCAGGCTGAGGTCTTCCACATCACTTGCTGCCTGGTCCTTTTAACTGGAGATGTTGGGGACTGAACCTGGGACCTTCTGCATGCCAAGCAGAGGCTCTGCCACTGAGCCACGGCCCCACTTCACGGCTCTCCAGGGTCTCAGGCTGAGGTCTTCCACATCACTTGCTGCCTGGTCCTTTTAACTGGAGATGCTGGGGACTGAACCTGGGACCTTCTGCATGCCAAGCAGAGGCTCTGCCACTGAGCCACAGCCCCTCCCTACTCCTACAGCAGAGGCATAGAGAACAAGTGCTTCACACTGAAAGGGGAGGAGCAGAATGTTGTGGTCAGGTCACATGGTGGGGGAAAGGGCTCCGTCTTGGCCCAAATCCTTGGTGTGTTCCCCATTAAGGTATTACCCCCAACACTTGGTTCAAAGTTCTGGTCTCTGGCCTTCCAGCTCCACTGCCTGTCGTCCTTCTCTCGACCCAAGTGAGGTCATAACTTTGGCCGGACCTCTTCCTGTCATGTGACTCTGACATCACGTGACTTCCTGTCACGTGGCTCTAAGCTTACAGCTTAGAGGGTTTCGGGACAGGAAAGCTTGAAGGACGCTACTCTAGAGTCAATGCCCACCTCTCATACTCGTGGCCCAAAAGGATTCAGGTTCTTACCGATAAGTGTTGGAACAGCCACGCTCGCATAATATTTGTGGCCACTTTGGGGAAGATCCCTCGTTTCTTGTTCCGCTTCTTGTCTCGGTCCAAGTCGTCGTCGTCTCCCGTGCTGGGCGAGGCCACACTGTTATCTAGACAGTCCCCTAGAGGGGGAAAAAGAAGGAAAGGGGAGAAAAGACCCTATTAGGAGGTGGCAGACTGGCTACAATCACTCAAGGGCGCAGGTGGTTGGAAGTCATACTTAATGTAATCACTAGAGGGAGACATGGTGCCCCTCTCAGAATAGATAGCCCCCTCTAGAGGCAAGAGGAGGAAGTTCAGCTTGTGGAACCGTAGGAAACTGGAACCAATGAAAAAACTAAGGATGTCAGTAATCCGTGCACATCTCGATTGAAACCTATGAAGAAACCTAGGATCGTCAGTAATTAGCAAACCTCTTGAACAGAGCAAGAGTCCAGTAGCACCTTAAAAACTAACAAGATATGTGGCAAAGTAGGAGCTTTCGTGAGTCACTGCTCATTTCTTCAGATCCAGCTAGAATGGAAGTCCATCTGTCCTGTTTATTGGAAAGTGGAGTGACTTCAGATGCCGAATGACATTAGCAGGCAAAAGACAATAGCAGGTAAATAACAATAGCGGGCATGATTGGATATGCAGAGGAATAATAGGCATGGAGAAATCAGCATTGGTAATGAGACAGGAAACCTCAGTCTTGATTCAGTCCAGGTGGATTCATTGTCTTGAGCTTCATTATCAATTGCAATTGATCTAGCAAACATCTAGACTGCCTCCTCCTTCTCAATTTCTGGCCGATAGCTAGCAGAGAGCTGCCCGCCCAACGGCTATACTGCAAGGAGAATGGAGAGTTTTATTAGACTATGATAGTAATGACTTTTCTCTGCTTGTCCCCTGGGCATGTGGCATTCAGAGATACACTGTCTCTGAAGATGGAGGCTCGATTAAGCCCATATGGCTCACAGCCATTAATAAACCCATCCTCCACGAATGTGTGAAGCCATAACCACCATCATATCATGGGCTGGGTATATGGATGTACCAGCCCTGTAGGAGCTGAGAACGGAACCCAGAACACTCTTCATCACTGCAGAAGAATCTGTAGAAGACTGTGTCAAAAGAGGGTCTGAAAGCCAGACGTATGTGAAGAAGAAGAAGAGATTGGATTTATATCCTGCCCTTCACTTGGAGTCTCAGAGCGGCTTACAAACTCCTTTCCCTTCCCCTCCCCACAACAGACACCCTGTGAGGTGGGTGGGGCTGAGAGAGCTCTGACACAAACTGCTGTTTGAGGAACAGCTGTGGCAGAGCTTGTGACTGACCCAGAGGTCGATTCGGGGGGGATCGCAGTTCCCCCGGGTGAGGTACGGGGGGCGGGGCACATGACGAAGCCCCGCCCCCTGCTTCCGGCCGCCCCGCTTCCGGCCCTCATTCAGCCAGGAGGAGGCAGGAGAAGAGGGAGGGTAACTTGCTTCCTCCCCGCCTCTCCCCACCCCTGCCTGCCTGGGGCCAGGGAGGGCCTTCGCGGGGCTTCCTCGCACTCCCGCCGGCCTTGCAGGTCCACCACCGGGCCTTATGATGTCAGGGGGTGTGGCATATGCTAATGAGTTATGCTAATGAGTTCCCCTAGCTCTTTTTCTACGAAACGACCCCTGGACTGACCCAAGGTCACATCAGCAGGTGCAAGTGGAAGAGTGGGGAATCAAATCCGGTTCTCCCAGATTAGAGTCCGCACACTTAACCACTACACCAAACTGGCTCTCTTCTGCTGCCTTCAGTATTGCAAGCATGCTCAATAGCTACATCATGTACTTTATAATAAAGGCAGGGCATGTGTCTGAATGCCTGAAGTCACAGGTTCAGTCCCCAGCGTCTCCAATCTGATTACTGGGCAACAGGACTGGGGAAGATCCAGAGAATTATTTATACTGAGTGAAGCAGACCGAGCTCTGCTTAACCAATCTCATCAGATCCCAGAAGCTAAGTAGGGTCAGTCCTGGTTAGTACTTGGGTGGGAGACCACCAAGGAAGTCCAGTGTTGCTACGCAGAGGCAGGCGGTGGCAAACCACCTCTGTCTCCTGCTCCGCCCTGGGTGGAGAATTGCAAAATGTGACCGCCCGGTGGTCCATTCGGTAGCCTCCTTCCCAAACGACATATACTGTAAAACGTTGATCACGCTCTTCGGCCTCGTCTACATTGCAGGGTCGTTGTGCACATAGAACGGAGGAGGGGAGGGAAACGCAGACAGTGTTGAGTAGTGGACAGTCTGCCTCGGGAGGTGGTGGAGGCTCCTTCGCTGGACGTTTTCAAGCGGAGGCTAAATGACCATCTTTCGGGTATGTTGTAGGTATGTAGGGCTCTCTTTCGGCTATGCTCCTGCAGAGTGCAGCAGGGGGTTGGACTAGATGACCTGCAAGGTCCCTTCCAACCCTAACATTCTATGATTCTATGATCACCCCTGACCTGAAAGGATTGATAAAATACTAGGTCAGAGGAACTCCCCTTGGGGCCTTCCTCATTCGTGATCCCCTCCTGGAAAGAAAGAAAAAGCACCTACCCCGCTCCCTTGCAAAAAAAAAACCCCGACAAAACCCACCTGCTTTCCCCAAGTCTTCCCTGACCCTCTTGTTCCTTCAGGGGCTCAAAACAGTTAAAAATAAACAGAACCTCTCGGCTTCCCACGAAATCTCAAGGAAAGGGGAGGGGGGGCAGAACCCCTGCTAACTCATGCGCTCCCCCCCCCACACACACACCAATGCCTCGCCTGACAAACGCGAAATCCTCTCCCCCCGCCCCCATCCTACCCCAGTGGAACAGCTGCTACGCTTTCCTATCCTCCGGCTAAAAGGCAGCTTAAAAGCCCTGCCCGGAGGAGAAAGTTAATTATGCATCAGAGAAAGTACAGCTTGGGGGGGGGGAGGCCCTTCAGCAGACATCGCCCGTGCCCCCCACGTGATCCCCTGCCCCACCCTGCCTTTCTCCCCCCCCACTGGCCTAAAATACAAAAATAAATCCACCCCCCCCAGTGTTTTTCTTCCTAAACTATGCCGTGGACTGGACGTGAGTGAGAATCCACATTTCCAAGGGAAGCCGCGGGGCTCGTTTACCGCCAATGGCCGCCACTTTGGGTTGCCACCCTCCGGGGGGGGGCACCTGGAGATCTCCTGGAATTGACAAGCAGCGTTCCCTCTAAGCTGAGTGAGTGTGAGCCAGCTCACCGTTTTTTAGCCTCCGGCTCACACCGTTTTGTCTCCGCTCAGGGAGGAGGGCTCCAGAGGCATACTAACTGATGCAGCGGCCAAGCTGCTCGCTCACAATGTTCATGCCAGCGGCTCACCAAGTAGAATTTTTGCTCGCCAGACTCCACAGCTTAGAGGGAGCATTGACCTACATAAATCAATTCCTCTGGAGGAAACGGCTGCTTTGGAGGGTGGGCTCAGGCTGAGGGCCCTCCCCCTCCCCAAAGCCCAACCATCCCAGGGTCCGCCCCCCAAACCTCCAGGAATTTCCCAACCCAAAGTTGGCAACATTAGCAAGGCCTTTCTCTGCACCTCCCTCAAAATCCCATTATAATGGTGGAGCTGGGCTTCTCCAGGAAAGCTAAAAGACTGAAGTTTGACCACCAGGAGCCACATTGTTGCAGTGGAATTTGCATAATGTCAGCAGGCTCTCACCACATGTATTTTGAGGGGTGGTGGTGAACGGCACCCCTTAAATCCCCTTTTTTTTACTTCATTCCCAGAATTTTGGGCTCTGCAGTCACCCAGGATCCTAAACGCGCCATTCTACTATTTCCTGGAGTGTTTGCCAGGGTCTGTGATACGAGACAGGATAGTACCGACAGAGAACTCCATTCTTTCCCTTCATGCTGTGCAGAACCACAAGCGGTTCCGCACATTCCCAGCAAAACATGTACTCAACAGAAGTGACGATCGTACTTCTGGGAAATTCTTTTGGCTTTTCCCCCCAAGGTACAATCTGAGGAGCTGCAATTCCCCAATAAACCAGTTTTGGGTTTCAACTGAGACCTCCAACTTTCAGGGTCAAACGTTCAGGCCCACCTCTCAAAGCCAAGCTAATATTCCAAGGGAAAGGAATGAGGAATTCAGCCGTGGAATTTGCTACCAGTGGATGGACTGGTGGCCACAAGTACAGGTGGCTTTCAAAGAGAGACGGGCCGCTCCTCTATGAATCCTGCTTTCAGTGGCTACTAGCCACGGGGACTGAGGGGAACCTCCACATTCAGAGGCACTACACCTCTGAATCCCAGAGCCAGGAGGCAACAACAAGGGTCTTGGCCTCTATGCTCTGTTTTTGGCTGTTGTGTGAGACGGGATGCTGGACTAGATGGACCCTCACTGGTCTGATCCAGCAGGGCTCTTCTGAGGTTCTTATAAAGGCCCTGGCCTCCATGCCCTGTCGTTGGCCCTCCAGAGGAACTGGCTGGCCGCTGTGTGACTCAAAAATGATGGTCACAGTCACAGAACAGACTGAAAAAGGAAGAAACTGTGAGGTAACTGCACTAGAGAATATTTAAATAAAGATCACAAAATTTATACACAAAGGTGTACAAAATATCTGCCTATATAAATGCACAAAGGCAGTTGAAAATGGTGAAATTGACGATGATCTCCGGAACGTTCTACCGTTTCGATACTCTTCTTCTTCCGAATGTGGATGAAAGCAGCGACTCATGGTCTGTTATTTCAACAGGTACGTATCAACAATTTCACTAATTTTCACCGATGTATCAGCATAGTTGCAAGAGATTCTCTGAAAGAATGTTCCTAGGGCAAAGTGCTTGTATAATGCCTTTCAGAGAATCTCTTGCAACTATGTTATGATACATCGGTGAAAATCAATTAAACTGTTGATACGTACCTTTTGAAATAACAGAACAAGAGTTGCTGCTTTCATCCACATTTGGAAGAAGAAGAGTATCGAAACGGTAGAACATTCCGGAGATCGTCAATTTCACCATTTTCAACTGCCTTTCTGCATTTATATATGCAGACTTTTTGTACACATTTTTGTATAAATTTTTGATTGTTATTTAAATATTCTCTAGCGCAGTTACCTCACAGTTTCTTCTTTTTTCAGTCTGGCCACTGGGTGAGACAGGATGCT